GGTGGAACCGACCTTCGAATCTCTTCACCCAACACTTTCACTCGAAATGGAAGTAAGCCCAACAATTTTCAGTCTTATCCTTAGATGAGTTTCCTGGATGCGACTCAGCATTCAGGGCTTCCTTAGCCACGGTATAAATTAGCCTATCTATAAATTTCGTTTTTATATTAGCTATGACTCTTATGGCTCACATCTATCGTTGTATTTGGAAGCCAGTCTAGTCATTTTATTTTCACAGTCTAATTACCCGTTTAAACCGGTGCGACTCGCTTTTTTTATCAGGAGATAGTAGGCCCAATACTGCAATCTTCTAAGGTGCCCGGATTCCGAGTCTCGGCTTTCTTAGGACCAGAGTTTACACTCACAAGATACATCCAGCCGATATCAGTATCAGATGGGGCCAAGCCAGCTTGTGTTAATTTGTCATCCGATAGCGATAACTCCCCCGCCATTATATCAAATGAAGACAATCACCAAAACAAGTCGTCTGCAGGTGTCTCCTCTTTTCAGATAGTTGAATCCTTGGAGCCAGAAGATGCCTATAATGCAATCGATCCTACTCCCACGTCTACAGCCTCTACTAATCTTCATTTGAATGAAACGAGGACATGCACTGTTATAGATAGCAAGGCTACAAAGGCGATCGTATCGGCTAAAAAGTTTCCAAAGGATGGAGAAGAAGAGCGTGAGGAGATGGCCATCCGATACAGAGAACTTCAAAAATGGGTAAGCCTTGATTTTTTATCATTCATAATCTTCTTAACCACCAAGTTTGTCCATATTTTGTTGAAAGATTGGCCAGAAAAATCTTTAAGGAGATTTATTTTATTAAGCAGAATAAACAGTATACCTTTGGGACTGATATTTTTAAAAGGGACTCTAGATATTATAACTTAGAGGTTGGAGATTCACTTGTTTTCTGGAGCTTTGCAACTTGCTCTGATTGCTCTCATAATCATCCTTCCGCTATTCTTGTAAGGAAACTTTTAATATATGGGCCTTATTCCTTTACACTTCTTCACACTTTACACTTCAGTTACAGTATGTATGGAATGTAAGCTGGCCAACGTAATCTTAAGTTCTGAGGCGTATTCATCCTATTTCGTTTAGGATGATAATTCGACTGGTAGTAGAATTTTTTTACAGTGATATGAGTAGACATAACGCTTCCACTAAATTTCACATAGCCTTATTTCCCCAAAAGTTATTCCCAATTAGGGTGGACTGCAATTTCAAACTTGCCTTGGTCTTATCAACACCCCAAGCGGTACTCGAGCCACGTTACTTATTTTTCGTTTATTAGTAGACTTTCTAGACTACCACTAGATCACATATATGGGGCGTATTGATCCTATTTCGTATAGGATGATCAGGCGAGGTCAAAACTGCAGTGCTACTGGATGAAAATAACTTTTGGCAAATCAAGGCTATGTGAAATTCAATATAAAACCTCATTTCTACTCACTCAACTATCACTTAACTCCTTATTACCCTAAACGAAATATGGCTATTGCACCTCATATGATCTAGTGGTAGCCTCGAAATCCTACTTCTTAACGAAAATTAATCATACATTGTTTTATCATGAATCCCAGCATACTTTCAGCTAGAGATTGAGACATTTGGTGGATTGATTTTACTTGCTTGCCTGGTTGCATTAGTGCTAGTGTTTTTATGTAGGCTTTCGATTTCTATCGTTTTCATAATTAAAATATATTCCACCATGATGAAAGAATAAAGATTTTATAAAACATAACTGTACTAGTGCAAAATTGATCAGATAGAACTTTTTTGTATGGAAATAAGTATGTTTCGCAGGGCAGATGCGACTTCAAGACAATCTCCAAATTGCCTACGAGGCCGCCGTTATGCAATCGACGAAATTATTACATATCTCGTGAGTAGGCTTTGGATTCACCTGTTGATCTCTAATTAGCATTCAAGTCACCATAGGCCGTTTAAGATAGTGTAAATATTGATAGTTGAATTTTTTACAATAAACTTCAATGCCATCGTGAGACCGTCTTTTTATTTCATTCAGGGGACTCCAAATATCAGCGACTTATCATATCAGTGGTCGGAATTCTCACTAAAGATTGTATATTGCCATTGTGTATGTGTCTTCGTACAAATACGATTGGATCATAAAACTTGCCCTCGTTCCCTTTTTAGGTAGTTTCTATTGTTTTTGACTTCGTTTCTTCATTGTTTGGTTATAGACTTCTTCATTATATACTCTTTAATCACGAAATAGCTATTTTGGAAATATATATCATATCACTGTTTGGGTCATACTTTCATACCAGTTACAAGTTGCAAACTAAAAAGGCATCCTATATAGGTTTTCTATTCACATTTTACATTATAATGTACCAAATTGTATTTCGTATCTTTAAATGCTGTATGCACATATATATATATATATGCCTAAAACGATTTATCCATCTAGTATTTATTTCTCCCAATTTGTCTTATTATGTATGCAATATTTTGAGATCCACTTGCGTCCATCATTTAAAAATCGTGTGCATTAGTAACCAACTTTCCACTTATAGTCCAGGTAAAAGTTCAACTTAACGTGAACTTTTATATTACTTTTGCTTAGTTTAATATTTGCAGTCTCTTCAAAGAAATAGCAACAATACATTTATATGCACCAAATCCATAACCCTTTTTAAAAAAATGTAATCCAAGGCCCATGATATTACATATAATCGATGCTTTTCCTATTCAGATGTTCGCAGCTATAAAGAACCAAAGTTTTGTTAAAATTAACTCTTCCTGTATTTTATTACAGGTAGTGATAGTGCCATGATCCACTAAAGAGAAAGCTTGATTTTATCCTTGAATTTTATATCTAGACTATGGAGCTTAAGAGCCAGCACATTTTATTATAGGTGCGAGTTGAATGGGAAGTGCGAGTTATAACTTCCATGTAATTCTTCGACGGTAGGATCTCATGAACTAGCAAGAAATGGGTTTGCTTCTTAATTCTTAAGTTTACGGTCCGGATACCTATGGGTTTGTGGATGGAACCTACGCAAGAAAGGAATCGCATTCCATCCAGAATGAAGCACTAATTCGGGTTTCGTAGCAGAGCAAAATATATTGGTAAAATCAAGCCTTATAGTTAATAAATCATGGCAGATATTATCATCAGTGCTTTCAATACCTTGGAATATATCGGCCACCTTGTCGATGGCCTAGTCAATGTCTATTATCTATATCTAATAATAATATTATCAGTGTCTAATCCGTCTCATATCTACATGGAATTTGTTACTGGTTTTTATGAGGTTGATTGTGGCGCCAGTTTAATTTTTTTGAGTTTCATTGTGACCCTTTAATTTTATTATTTCCTCTTGCGTTATATATCTGTAAGGTGGATAATCTGTCCTTCAATCTACTCAGTGCTCGCCGCGAGGCGGATGAAGAGCGAGCGCGCAGGCTGACTTTGGAAGCTGAATTGCTTGCAGCTCGAACTCATACCCCTCTCCCTCCTCTTCGGGTGACACGTAATGGTTCCGATAAACTCTATTTTCCTGACTATGCAGCTAACGAAGAAGTGATATCGGCTATTTTTCCTCCATCCCCTAGTCCACAAGTGCCATTTTCTCCTTTCCTTGCCATCAACGAATCCAAGTTAACACGGTTGATCAACTCTAACTCTTTATCTGATAAATCGTTTGTTCTTTCTTCTTCCTCTGATTCCTACTCTACTCTTTATTCACTTTCTCCCGAACCGCTTACTCTACCAAAGCCTTATTCCTGCTCTTTCCTACATCAAAATGACGCCGACTCGGGCACTATGTTGGATCGAAGTCCTGTTCAGGAGGTGGATCAATTATCATCAGACCCTTTAGACTTAGGTTAGATTATTCACCTCTTTCTATTATTAATCCTTCTATTCATCAAAGATTTTCATTTTGATTCATCTATTTAAACATCTGAGAACTCAAATAATAACTATGCCAGTCGAACAGTAATCAAATAAAAATGTAATAGCAGTATTACATTTTTGCTGGACTTACCTTTATCTCAATGCAGCCCTACTCTTGATCATAATTTGCACAACTTTAGGCGAAAACAAGATTGATATTAAAATGCCAGACAAATGGAGTAAGGAAAAATAAGATGTCTGCCTTATTTCATCATTCTCACGGCAGAGGCAAGTAAATAATTTAACACCTCTAGATTCACAGCTCTGCCTCAACTAGTCTGGTGGCCACAGCCACCATTGAGAATTAAAGTTAAGAGTGCTTTGATCTTCCAACCATTCTGAATGGCCGCTCTCTCTCTCTCCGATGGTCGTCTCCACGACGTCTTTTTAGTTACACTTATAGCTTGGCGCTTCGGAATATACCATCGGCTCATAGACATTGAACTTTCATTCACTTCTTTCGATGCAGTCGGTACCACAGGTTATGCGACCTAGTGAGTAGTGCTGGAATGGGGGTGTAATAGGCAAGTGTTTCTTTACTAAGGATACAGGAATCTTGATTGTTTGCTGCAGCAATACCAGTTTCGCTGATTAGTGCGTTATTGGAAATACGCTTTGGATATGATCACCGTCTTGTCTACCATAGGAATAGGCGGATCAAGATTGATCAAATGGATATTTATGTAGGAGTCAAACAGCTGCAATTCATTTTATACATTACTTCTGTTTATTGCTATTCTATGAAGTGTATTAACCTTATTTCGTTTAAGCCGACGAAGGGCTGGTAGTTGAATTTTCCAACAATGATATGAGTAGAGCTGACGTTTCCATCGAATTTCATATAACCTTGCTTTCCCAAAAGTTGTTCTCATCCACTATGGAGTGTAGTTCTGGTCTTACCTAGGTCTTATCAACACTCCTAGCGGCACTCGAAACATGGCACTGCAGCGTGTAATCTCGACACTTTAACCACTACGCCGCATTGCCTTTGAGTCACAGGGAAAATGTGAATTCCAAGGAAGGCAAGGCATTTCCCCATATCACATACCTTGCTGAGATTGTCAATGAAGCAAGTAATATTTGCTATAGCAATCGAATACTACTTATTTTTCGTTTACATGTAGGCTTTCAAGGCTACCAGTAAGTCATTTATTTGATATGTTTTTCATCCATCGGTCTTCTCAGTCGGCTTATCTCAATACTTCCCTTCCTAAAAGCCCACTGCACATGAAAGTTCAAGGCCCCAAATGTAAGGCTAGCTTTGCTTGGCATCTGCATACAAGGCCTGTCTTTGTGGACTGACGCGCGTCTAGTTCCGTTATGTTCTCATCATTTCCCCATTTTCTTTTTCATTTCTTGCTGTGTTTATCAGTACCATCTGTAATTAATTAATTTATTCACCTTGCTACTAGCATACAACTCTAGCCATATTTTATTTATGGTTAATAAGTACCAATCGGCATGTATATGAAAGTTGGGTTTGCACATGTCGATGCATCCATTATACTCGATTTCACCACATCCTCGTTTCGTCCGCACTCAACACATTTTAGCTATTTTTTTCCTATTCTCACAAATCATTTACGGTTTGAAAAAAGTCAATCTGTATTGCTAGTAAAATACTTAGATCCTCATACCTAGTCGTCTCTTCATACCCCATACGAATGAGCATGCAAGATGCGAAATTCTTTTTTAGTATAAATTAGTCTTTTCAGCAAGTGGGCTTCCTTGCCTTTATTTTATGACTTTTATCACAAACGCACATTGAACTAGTCCTTAGTGATAAACTTATTTCTATACATTCGAGATGCCCAAAATAAAACTTTAGAATTAATGAACTCATCTCATCTGGTGACCTTTTTACCCCTTACTCCTCCTTCAAACTTAAATTGTTTGGATCCGCCGCTGCGGATTGTTCACAGCCAAAGATCAGAGCATTATGTGGCACAGTGTAATCGAGTCGTCAGATCTCCCTACGTTGGACTCCTGGGATTCCACTAAGCTCTGTCTATCCTGCCAAAGACGACTTCTGGTGGGGACGACTACTTGCTCGCGCGGTACACAGACTATCTGGACACCCGTAGACAGCCTTGGGAGACACGCAAGGTGGCACAGTTGTTCGTCAGCTACACTCTTGGCCCTCTGAGTGTGCCATCCATCTCTACTCAAGACCCTACTTTTTTCATTGCCCTTCAGATTTGCTTCTCTTTATATGCTTTTCAGTTCATATTAACTCGGCTTTATTTATTGTCTTTCCTTCTAAGGTCCTTGTGCCTCTCGCACAAATGGTGACTTGCTGCAAACTGATGATCTTTGCCTTTAACGATTCGTAACCACTTACTTTCTATCCACTCCGTCTTTCCCATTTTTTATGCATGGCAATCCACCTTTCATTTTCTTCTACCCTTATCTATCCACCTTTCGAATTTCACCGACTGACCTATATTTTCATTTATACATCACGAATCTTTTCCTATCATTGCCTACATTCCTTACCTGACATATGAGTCAGCTTTCAGCAATCTTTTTTTTTCTTATTTCACCAGTGACTTATCCGTGGCTTGCACTACCTGTATCTGCTGCTTGCTACTAGCCAGGTCTCTCCTGCCCTCGACCTTTTTCTTCATTACACTCCTATCTTCGAAGGGACTAGTCTTTAATCAAAGTGACTTGTAGCCATAGGACCATTTAATTTGCCAGCTATGTTACCTGGTCGTTGCTCGTGAATACCCTGCAACTTTCATCCTATGTATCATTATCTGCCCTAGATTCAACGGATCCCACTTTTACCAATTATGGACTCATGATATCTAATCATTAAGATGTTTATTATGCCCCATTTATTTTGCTTATGCTTATTCTGATAAATTCTTTTCAGTTCCGATCTTCCCAGTCTTGATTATTTAGGAAAATGCCAATACTACTGTCTCACATTTCTTCCATTAATCTTCTCTTTTTTGTCGGTCATTGCCATCGATACCAAAATTGCTTTTCATTACTTTCTGCCTGGAGCAGAACGCCATAACAAATTTTCCTGCCTATAGATATTCAATTCAGCTGTATCATATTTTGTTTATTAGGACAACGAATATTATTTTTTGTACCTATATATTTTTTACCCGAGGCATGTATCCGTTTTCGGTAAAGAAATTAAATCGTCATTTCTTCTTTAATGAGCTGATTCTTTTCATTCTTTTAAAATGCTTTACTTTTATTACCCTACAGTAATACTAATTTTCCTAATTACGAGTTTCTTGAGGTTCGCGATAGCTGATGTTTAACTGCCTACCATGAAGTGAGTAGACTACTAGAGCAAAGCTTTGTTAGAGGCATAAAAGATGCTGATAGAAATATTGTGACATGACTAAGAATTTCAATTTTTCTTCATACGCTAATAGAAAGCCTCGAACTGATACTTAAACGTGGACTGCATTCTAATGCAACGATAGGAAAATGCCTTATTTTCAAGCCGGGTTTTTAGCTAATTGTAAACGGTTGTAAGATTTAGATAAGCAATTGAAGTGGCCAACACGCATTAGTCATTGAGATAACTGATATAAACTACTAGAAAAACGTGGCAATCGAACAAATATGCAATACCAAGTCATTGGAGCAGAGGGGGCAACTGGGGTCAACTTGACGAGTGATTTGACGATAAAAGGCCTAGCCATAGCCTCAATTGCCCAATATCGACGAGCCAAGCAAGCCATGGAAGTAATAGAAGCAGAATTGGTGGGATTATCTAGTCATGGTTCATGTTGAGACGCCTTGCAAGACATTTGGTGTTAAATTGGCAAAGAGTTGATGAGTCCT